CATCATCATCATCATCATCATCATCATCATCATCATCATCATCATCATCATCATCATCATCATCATCATCATCATCATCATCATCAGCATCATCATCAGAATCATCATCATCATCATCATCACCATCATCATCATCCTCATCACCACCACCACCACCATCATCATCATCATCACCATCATCATCATCATCATCATCATCATCATCATCATCATCATCCACAAAGGCAACAACATCCCCCACCTCTTGGCATGAACGACACGGATCTTAGATATGAGCCCTGTATCCCGGGGCCCTCCCCCAAGAGCCAGCCCTTCATCGCAAGGCGTGTTCGCACATATACTTGGGCCTCGCCGACGAGGTTTCTACTCTCTTGTAATTCGGAAGGTGGCTCGGGGCCCTCCGTCAATTGCGGCCCCCATCGGTCCTCGGGGCTTCTCGGGGTGCGGGGCCAATTCGTCAGAGGCGGCCCCCTGGCGTTGCTCGGGCTTGCTCGCGGCAAGCAGCGCCAGGCAGCGACAAGCAATGCCAAGCAACGATTCCAAGGAATGCCAAGCAACGGTTCCCAGCAATGCCGAGCAATGCAGAGCAATGCCAAGCAAGGCACTGCATTGCACTGCTCAGAACAACTTTGAATTGCTCTGGGAGCAAGAAGGCGCCTAATTGTTTGGGTCGCGCCTGGTTCATGTAGACAACCCTGGCACCTGTGGAGGGCCCATGGGAGGGCAAAAACTACGAGACACCTCGGGAACCGTTTCCCTCAGGACCCTTGTGTTTCATGCCGATTTTCCTCCTCGGTACACATGCCGCCGCGCTGCTTGCTCTGAACGCGCCCACGTAGACAAAGCCAGCACCGCGGCACACTCGCGGCAGAATCTGCCTCCGAGGCGGAGTCTGCCCGGATGGGCCGAGGCGCCCTCCCCAAGACGCAAGGCCGCGCGTCGGACCAAACGGCGCTCCGACACCAAAATGACGCAGCCTCAGGTCGGGCATGTCCCCCTACGAGCAGATTTTGGAGGAAAGCATACAAATATCAGCCAAAAGCATCAATATTCAAGAATAATCACAAATTCCTCCTGTAGATGGCTGTGCCCGACTTGAGCGCAGCCCTCCCTTCCCACCCCCCAGCGGCCTTCGCCCCCAGAGGGGGGGGGGGGGGGAAGAGACGTTAGGTCGGGCCTGTCCCCCTACAGGGGGATTTTGGACGAAAAACAAAAATATTCAAAAATATGCAAAAGATGCCCAAACAGATTCAAAAAATAGTCCCCAGACTTTTCTTTGACTGTTTTCGAATATCCCCCCTGTAGGGGAACAGGCCCGACTTAGTAAAAGAGACGCCAGAGGCAGCGGAATCCAGGAGCGGCGCCAGGGGGGGGGGAGGGGGGGGGGGGCCCTCCAGAGGGAGGGGGGGGGGGCAGCCAGGACATCCCACGTCCTCTGCCGGGGGGGGGGACGTCGTCCCCCTCCCCAGGACTCCGACCTCGTGGCTTCTTCAAGACGTCGACCTCGTGAGCGTTTTCTTGCTCGGCGCTTCGACATTGGGCGGAAGGGGGGGGCAGAGGGGGAGGGGTCTGGCCTCTGCTTAGCGCAACTGTTTACAACAGTGCGTCCTATGGGGCTCCCAAAACAGCCAAGATCTACTACTCCATGGGGGGGGAGAGGGGGGGTGCGAGGGCCCGCGCCGATCGGCAAAACAATGAACATGAAAACGATCACTTCCTCGGGACTAATGTTTCGTCGCCGGGTGGTTTCGTGCCAGCCCCGAGAGGCTGGGTGCGGGTCCCCGGAGCCCGAGGACGGCCAGAAAAAAACTGCCCGTCGTGATATTTTTTCGCGACGAGTCGAGGGGGGGAGGAGGATGAGGAGGAGAAAGAGGAGGCGGAGGAGGAGGAGAAGGAGGAGCAGGAGGAGAAGGAAGAGGAAGGAGCAGCAGCAGCAGCATCAGCAGCAGCAAGAGGACTGGGGAAGGCCTCCTGGGAAACCTACGGGATGACCCTCGGAGACCTCCAGGAGGACCAGGGGAGGCCTCCCGGGAGACCTCGCAGAGGACCAGTCGTGCTCTCTCCTCCTCCTCCTCCTCCTTCTCCTCCACTTCGCCGTCCTCTTCCTCGTCCTCTTCCTCCTCCTCCTCCTCCTCCTCCTCCTCCTCCTCCTCCTCGTCTTCGTCCTCCTCCTCCTCCTCCTCCTCCTCCTCCTCCTCCTCCACTTCGCCGTCCTCTTCCTCGTCCTATTCATCCTCCTCCTCCGCCTCCTCCTCCTCCTCCGCGTCTTCGTCCTCCTCCTCCTCCGCCTCCTCCTCCTCCGCCTCCTCCTCCTCCTCCTCCTCCTCAATGTCTCATCCTCCTCAATGTCTCCTCCAGTGTGTGGCGCACCAGCGAGCTGGCGCGCGCGCACCCCAACGGGCGGGCCAGGTCGGGCCAGGGCGGGGCCGGGTCGGGCGGCCGGGCCTTCAGCGGGCGGGCCGGGTCGGGCAGGCGCGGCATGGAATTGTGCTGCAGCATCGGATTTGAAGGGGCCCAGGGACACACAAGAAATAGGCACAACTAACAGGATGCCCCATCTTTCCCAAGATTTTCTGGGTCTTCGTCTTCCCCCCCCCCCCACTTCCCATACTTGTCCCTATTTTCCTGGAACCCTAAATAAGGAGCCCTAAAGAAGGAATTCAAAAGAAGGAACTCCAAACAAGGGGCGAGGCCCCTTTTCTCCATGAGTCAAGCGTCACGACCCGATCGAAGACCTGAGGAAAACCTGAGGCGAGCTGCAAAACACGACGGAGGAATACGGAGCCCCTCCCCAACGAGAAGGGTTCCTTCTTCAGCGCCCCGACTGTGTCATCAGATTGCCCCGCGCGTGTTCTAACGGGCGGGTCAGGTCTGGCGGGCGATACCCCAAACCATGGTGCATCACAGGGCTGAACCCAAGCGGTGTTTTTCGTTTTCGTTGTTTCCGTTTTCCCTCGCTTTGGTCTCGAGTCCACCTCTGCCGCAGAACGAAGTCGAAACGAAAACGGGCCACGAAATCGCTAAAAAAACACAGTTTAGGCCCAGCCCTGCCTTACACCGTGGTGCATCGCCCACCTGGCACGCGCGTGACCCTCGCAGGCGGGCCTGGTCGGGCGGGTCGGGTCGGGTCGGGCAGGCGGACCTTCATGGGCATGAGTCTTGGGTTTGCACTGGTCCTCCTTCCCCTCCTCCTCCCCTCCTCCTCCTCCTCCTCCTCCTCCTCCTCCATCTCCTCCTCCTCCTCTCCCCTGCGTGCCTTTCGCTGCGCGCTCAGAGTGCTGAGGAGGCGCCGGGAGAAGTAATGCTCTGGCTGGAGGTTCGAGGCTCGAGGCTCGAGGTCGTTGGGTGCGTTCGGTCCGGCGGGTGCGTCGGATCGGGCGGGCGGTACCTCAAAGCATGGTGCAACATCGGGGTGGCGCGCGAGTGCCCTAACGGGCAGGCCGGGTCGGGGCAGGGCGGGTGGGGCGGACCCTCGCGGGCGGGTCGGGGTCGGGCTGGCGGGGCATCCGAGCATGATGCGTCCTCGAACTGGCACTCGAGAGCCCCCGCGGGCGGGTCGCGTCGGGCTAGCGGGCCTGACGATTCTGTCGAGTCGGGCAGGCGGGGAACTAAATCGGGATGCGTGATCGAACTGGCACGCGAGAGCCCCAATGGAAGGGTCGGGGCCTCCAGGGGACCTCCCCTTGCCATCTGGGAGTCCTCTCCCGGGGAGGTCTCCAGGAGAACAAGGCCTACCGAGGAGGGACCTCCCGGAGGACCAAGGGAAGCGGTCTCCCCTGGTCCTCCTGGAAATCTCCCAGGAGGCCTCCTCTCCAGAGGAGGCATCTGGGAGATCCCCCCGACCAGAGGTCTCCCGCAGGACCCGGGGAGGCCTCCAGGAGGTACCCCTGGTTCTCCAAGAGGACTCCCAGGAGGTCCCTGGGAGGGCCGGGGGAGAGGGGAATCAGCGCCTCCTCGATCTCCCCCGCCTCTTCCGATGCCTCCTCAATCCTCCTTCTCCACGCTGCTCCTCCATATTCCTCCTCCTCCTCCTCCTCCTCCTCCTCCTCCTCCTCCTCCTCCTCCGTCTCGTCCTCCACCCCACCTCCTTGTAGATAACTCCTCCCTGTCGCCCCCCAAACGTGTCGGTATGGCGGGCCGGGCGTTTCGCCTGAGACTGCCTCACCACTCACGATCCTGAAGCCTGGGATGTGAAAAGATCTCGCGGGTGGAAGGCGGGTCGTGGCCAAAATGTGGCTCTCGCCTGAAAGCTGGGCGCATTGGTCACAACAACTCGCAGCGGTTTCAGGGATGGGCCGCGGGCCGTTTTCGAAATGTGCCTCTCGCCTTTAGCGCCGCAGGCAGTCGTCGTACAAGCTTGCAGCAACTTCACGGATGGACGGCGGGCCGTGTTCGAAATGCGGTTTTCGCCGTAGCGCCGCGCACAATCGTTTGGTCAGTTAGCACCACTTTCACGCATGGAGGGCAGTTCTTTTTCAACAGTTGGTTCTCGCCTTCGCGCCGCACGCATTCGTCTTCAAAGTTTGCAACCGTTTCGAAGGGTCGTACAGTTGAGGTCCCGGGAATTTTATTCTGGCTCGATCTCCGATTGCCAGGGCGTAACAGTCACATTGATTCGCAGCAGTCACCTTGTGTTGAAATCCAAGGAATGGTGTTTGGCACGATTGAGGCCTCTCAGACGGTTGTCTTCTGATTGGGCGATGTCCCGCAACGGGAATGCTTTCTTGGAGGGACCTCTGAAGAGGGACCTTGAAGGGAGTGTGTATTGCAACATCGTTGAGGCGTCTTGGGTTTACGCTGGTCCTCTTCCTCCTCCTGCTCCTCCTCCTCCTCCTCCTCCTCCTCCACCTCCTCCTCGTCCTCCTCGTTCTCCTCGTCCTCCTGCTCCTCCTCTGCCTCCTCCTCCTCCTCCTCTTTCCTCCTCCTCCTCCTCCTCCTCCTCTGGAAGATGGCCTCGGACAGCAAGCCCCGGGCAAGGAAAATGAGTGCCGGAGGCGCTTTCAAACAAAAAAAAAAGCCTGTGTGCTGCCTCCCGCGGCGTCGGGCCTCGCCCCCCCGAGGAGGGGAGGGGTGGCGGTGATGAGTATTCGGTGGCAGCCCCTGGGAGCCTCCCATACGGTGAGGGCATTGGGTGAGTCGGGTCGGGCGAAAGGGGGGGATAGCAAAGGGGGGGTTTGAGAATCAGCTCACGTAGCTGATTTTCCCGGCGCCTCCCGGCGCCGGGAGGCGCCCATGTATCGAGGAATGGGCCCGGCGGCGGGGCCGAAACCAGCTGCATGCAGCAGATTTCGTACCCCCCCCTTTCCCAATCCCCCCCTTTCGCCCGGCCCGACATACGGTGAGGGCATTGGGCGAGGAGCCGCTGGACAAGGGATCGAGGGTCTGGAAGCTCGCGGAATTTCAATCGTGGAGTGGCCATGGGCATCACCACCGCCCTCGCTGGAGAAGGAACCCTCCAGGGTCTGGAGCCTCCCGGGCACATTCCTTGACGAACGCCCCCACCGTACCCTCTTGTCGGCTCTTGCGAATGGACGCTCGTCGACGCTACGTCGACGCTAACCGACGCTAACCTCGACGCTGATCGACGCCAGCCGACGCTGAGCTGACACTATCTCATGGACTCCGAGACGCTAATCGACGCTACAATCGATGCTAGGGACGGAATTGAGAGGGCACACCAGGCTCCCATGATTTGCTACCGAATGAATACACGGCAAGGCTCTCTGGACGAAGGAGCGGGGCGCGAGAGGTCAGGTCGCAGGACGGAACGTCCCCGAGAGGCTGCATGAGCGTAGCCTCTCGGAGGTCCGCGCGGACTTCTCGGGACGGCGCTGGACGCCCCTCCCCACACCCCTTCCTGGGGTGGCGCCAGGGACGCTACCCGCTGTGGTGCGGGGAGGGTGGTCCGGCTCCGGCCCCAAAAGCCAGCGTGGACGTCCGCACGGTTGTGCTCATGCCGCCTCTCGGCTCTCAGAGCGAGCCTCAAGCGATGATGCATTGGCAATCTCCCATGCGACCCTCGCTCGTCTTGTACTTGTGTCCGTCGTCCGGGCCGGCGGCCATCTGGGACGCGTCCGGGAGGTGAGCCGGCTTGTCCGCAGGTGCACCCGCCGCCGCGTCCGCTGGGCCCGCCACGGCTGCGTCCGTCTCTGCATCCACGGGAGCGGGAAACGGACTTCTGGGGGTGGACGCCCCCGCGCCCCTGGCTGAGAGGGGCTCGGCCGGAGGCTCGGGAACTGCCACCGCCTTCGTCTTGCGCTCCGCCTCTGCCACGCGCTCGGCCTCCTCGACGCGCTCCGCCTCCTCCTTCGCAGTGCGCTCGGCCTCCGCCGCGCGCTCGGCCTCCTCCTTCGCCACGCGCTCGGCCTCCGCCTTGCGCTCGGCCTCGGCCACGCGCTCGGCCTCCGCCTTGCGCTCGGCCTCCTCCGTCGCCACGCGCTCGGCCTCCGCCTTGCGCTCGGCCGCCTCCTCCTCCTCCTCCTTCGCAACGCGCTCGGCCTCCGCGGTGCGCTCTGCCTCCGCCGTCCGCTCGGCCTCCTCCTTCGCCACGCGCTGAGCCTCCTCATTCGCCGCGCGCTCGGCAATTGCCACGCGCTCGGCCTCCTCCTTCGCCTTGAGCTCCGCCTCCGCCTTGCGCTCGGCCTCCGCCGCGCGCTCGGCCTCGGCTTTGCGCTCGGCCTCGGCCACGCGCTCGGCCTCCGCCTTGCGCTCGGCCTCCTCCTTCGCCACGCGCTCGGCCTCGGCCTTGCGCTCGGCCTCGGCAACGCGCTCGGCCTCCTCCTTCGCCACGCGCTCGGCCTCGGCCTTGCGCTCAGCCTCCGCCACGCGCTCAGCCTCCGCCACGCGCTGGGCCTCCTCCTTCGCCATGCGCTCAGTCTCCTCCTTGGCCTTGCGTTCGGCCTCCGCCACGCGCTCGGCCTCCTCCTTCGCCAAGCGCTCGGCCTCTGCCACGCGCTCGGCCTCAGCCACGCCCTCCGCCTCGACCTTGCGCTCGGCCTCTTCGGCTGGCGTTGAGGCCACGGCCATGACTGTCTCCTCCTGCTCAGTAGTCGCCCCAAGGAAGAAGCCGTTCACTGGGTCAAGGCCCTTCGCCACCTGTCGAAGAACAAATAATTGATCGAGCCATGAAAACGGAAAGGAATCTGGAAACGCGAGGCATGGCTACGTTTTCACGACACCTGATTGGGCGACAGGCAATTGCAATGCGAAGGTATTGATCGTGATGTACTGTGCCAAAGGTTGTGCTGTGCTGTGCGGTGCTGAAATGAGACGTGCCATGCCGCAATGCAGCGCGTTGTGCTCTATAGTGTTGTGGATCAAGTCGCCATTGGCATCCGAATCCTGGCCGAACTGATCTGGATCTTAAGCTCGAGCTGCCTGAACGCATAGCTGGCCCATAGCTGGTTGCAGTCGAAGCGCGTGGGACTCGAGCTCAAGATCCGACCCAATTCCGAAGCGGGACGAGACGACACGGGGCGCAGGGCGCACGGACGCGCCACGGAATGTGCCAGGGGCGCACTAGGGGATGCCCCAGGGGACGTGGCAAGGAAGGTGGCAGGGGACGCACCACGGACAGGGCAAGGAAAGCGCCGGTGGACAAGCCAAGGAACGCGACGGAGGACGAGCCAGGGGACGCGCCGAGGGGGGAGGGGCATACGCCGTCCCCCTCTTGGGCGTTAAGAACCATGTGCTTTTACGCTTGTTCCGCCCTGGGGGGCGTCAGGAACCTATGTGCGTTCGACGTCCCTAGGCAGCCCAATGGCGGATATCTAACATGCGGTTGTGAAAACATAGGGCCCCAGCTCAGGGCGACAATGGTAGATACGTGCCGCCCTGTGTGGCCTGGACACGTGAAAAACATGCGGTTGCAGCGCGGGGGCACCATGTTAGATACCTCCCTGGGTTGCCTGGACACGTGACAACACGTGATTTCAACTCGGGCCCACCATGTTCGATACCCACCTGGGTGGCCTGGACACGTGGAAACACGTGGCTCCAGCTCGGGACCCCTGGATGGACTGGACACGTGAAAACATGTGGCTCCAGCCGGGGACCAACACGTTCAATATTCCCCTGGGTGGCCTGGACACGTGAAGACATGCGGTTGCAGCTCGGGTCCACCATGTTAGAAACCTCTCTGGGTGGCCTGAACGCGTGAAAACACTTAGTTCCAGCTCGGGACCACCATGTCATATACCCCAGAGGGAAATCTGAAAATTCACTCGCCGAGCAAACCGTGTCAAATTATTGTACATCTTGTGTCGCTTTATAGCTTTTGTCTGGCTCTGGTGGGCACCCGCACTGGGGGCCCCCAGACGACCACATTTTAACTACTTACACCCCCCCTGGGTAGCCCACACACGTAACAACACGTGGTTCCAGCTCGGGGCAATCATGTTGGATATCCTCTTGGGTGGCCTGGGCACCTGACAACACGTGGTTCCAGCTCGGGGCCACCATGTTAGATACCTCTCTAGGTGGCCTGGACAAGCGAGGGGCAAGAGGCAACTGTCTTAGATACATCCCCCTGGGTGACCAGGACAAGTAAAAACAAATGTCTCCAGCTCGGGACCACCATGTTAGATACCCCCTTCTGGGTACCCTGGACACGTGAAAACACATGGCTCCAGCCCAGGACCACCAACTTAAATATTCCCCCTGAGTGGCCTGGACACGTGAAAACACGTGGTTCCAGCTCGGGGCCACTACCCCTTCCGGGCGGCCTGGACACGTGAAAACACGTGGTTCCAGCTAGGGCCACTATTTTAGACACCTCTCTGTGTGGGGTGACCTGGGCACGTGAAAATACTTGGTTCCAGCTCGGGACCACCACGTCAGATACCCCTCAAGGAAATATGTAAAATCACTCGCCGAACAAGCTGTGCGAAGTTATTCTAGTTCTGGCGTCGCTTTATAGCCTTTGTCTGGCTCTTGTGGGCCCCCACACGAGGGGGCCCACAACGACCACATTTCAACTACACGGGAAAAACGTGGTTCCAGCTCGGAGCCACCATGTTCGATACCGCCCTGGGTGCCATGGAAAAGCGAGGGGCAAGAGGCAACCTGTCTTAGATACCCCCCCTGGGCGGCCAGGACATGTAAAAACACATGTCTCCAACTCGGGACCACCATGTTAGATACCCCCGTTGGGTACCCTGGACACGTGAAAGCACGTGGCTCCAGCCTGGGACCACCATGCTAAAGATTCCCCTGGGTGGCCTGGACACGTGACAACACGTGGTTCCAGCTCGGGGCCACCATGTTAGATACCTCTCTAGGTGGCCTGGACACGTAACAACACGTGGCTCGAGCTCGGAGATACCATGTTAGATACCTCTCTGGGTGGCCTGGGAGCGTGAAAATACTGGGTTCCAGTTCGGGGCCACCATGTTAGGTAACCCACCAGAGAAATCTGAAAATTCACCCGCCGAACATACCGTGTCAAGTTCTCATACATCTGGTGCCGCTTTATAGCTTTTGTCTGGCTCTTGTGGGCCCCACATAGGGGGGCCCCCGACGACCACGCTTTAACAACACAACCCGTGGGTGGCCCACGCATGTAGCAACACGCGGTTCCAGCTCGGGACCACCATGTTAGATACCCCTCCGGGTGGCCCAAATGTAAAAACACATGTCTCCAACTCGGGACCACCATGATAGATACCCCCCCTGGGTGGCCTAACGTAAAAGCACGCGGTTCAGGCTCGGGACTACCATGTTAGATACCCCCCGGGGCGGCCTGGGCACTTGGAAAATCGTGATTCCGGCTCGGGGCCACCATATTAGATATCCACCTGGGTGGCCTGAACACGTGAAAGCATATGGTTCCATCTAGGGACAATCATATCAGATACTCCCCTTGGCGACCTGGGCATGTGAAAACAAGCATTTCGCATGCGACATCATCTGAATCCTTGCCCCCAGGAGAGCAATCTCTAGGACAAAACACTTTCGCTCAAGACATCCTTAACGAATTAAGCAAAACAGAGTGCAACAATCGACAATGCTTACCGATCGGAATTTCAGAAACCAGCGCTTGGCTCGGGACACCCTCAACATTGTAATCCGCCGGCCCTACGTGACCTCGATATCGATCGCAAGAGAATTCGCCGGCAATTCGCCAGCCCTGCGCAAGTTGAGTGCCAGGGACAAATTACCACCCTAAAGGAGAACCCTGGGCCCACGCCCTTTCCGGGGAAGCTGCATCGACAGAACCATCAGGAAGCCCACGCGGATGTCTTGGGTCGGCGCTGGAACCCATCCCCCAACGCCCATCCCCAACGCGCGGCGCGCGCCAAGGCGGTGCTGGAGGCACCGCCCAAGGTTGGCGGGGAGAGAAGTCCGGCACCGACCAAACACGATCGGCCCACGAACCCAGAAAGGAAGCTGGAAACGCGAGGCATGGCTACGTTTTCAAGACGCCTGATTGGGCGGCCAACACTTGCAATGCGAAAAGTATCGATCGTGATGTACCGTGCCAAAGATTGTGCAGTGCTGTGCCGTGCTGAAGCGAGACGCGTCATGCCGCAATGCAGTGCGTTGTGCTCTGTAGTGTTGTTGATCAAGTCGCCCTTGGCATCCGAATCCTGGCCGAACTTATCTGGATCTGAAGCTCGAGCTGCCTGAACGCATAGCTGGCCCAGAGCTGATTGCAGTCGCACTGTGTGGGACGCTTAATCAGCTCGAGCTCAAGATCTGACACAGTTCCGAAGCGAGGCGAGACGACACGGGGCGCAGGGCGCATGGACGCGCCACGGAATGTGCCAGGGGCGCACTAGGGGATGCCCCAGGGGACGTGGCAAGGGACGCGCCACGAAACGGGCAGGGAAAGCGACAGGGGACAAGCCAGGGAATGCGACAGAGGACGAGGGGCATACGCCGTGCCGATCTTGGGCGTTAGGAGCCCACGTGTCTTCACGCTTGTCCCGCTCTGGGGCGTCAGGAACCCATGTGTTCTCAGGCTTGTCTAGCTCTGGGGCGTCAGGGGCCCACGTGCTGTCACGCTTGTCCCGCTCTGGAGCACTACGGACCAATGCGTTTTCACGCTTGTCCCGCTCTGGGGCGTTTGGAACCCACGTGCTGTCATGCTTGTCCCGCTCTGAAATGTTAGGAGCCCACTTGATTACACGCCTGTTCCGCCCTGGGGCGTTAGGAACCCATGTGGTTTCACGCCTGTCCAGCTCTGGGGCGTTAGGAACCCAATCGTTTCCAAGCTTGTCCCGCTGTGGGGCTGTAGGACCCGCTTGGCTTTCACGCTTATCCTGCTCTGGGGCGTTCGGAACCCATGTGTGTTCAGGCTTGTCCCGCTTTGGAGCGCTAGGAACCTACCTGTTTACACGCTTGTCCCGCTCCTGGGGCGTTAGGAACCCACTTGATGTCTCGCGTGTCCCGCCCCTGGAGCGCTAGGAACCCACGTGTGTTCACGCTTGTCCCGCTTGCCGGGGCGCTCGGAGCCCACGTGTGGCCACGCTCCCGGGGCCACGGTATCCCTTGAAAATGACGGGCCCACCGCTCTTCGGGAGCGGCCAAGAGGGCGGGGCGTCCAAGAGGGGGGGGGGGTGCAACTCAGGACCAGCGGCACGTGCGCGGCCCCGCGGGGGGGCCAGGGACGTCATGAGATAAAGAAGAGGCGCCACAGAATCTGGGGAGATACCACGGCCCACGCCATGATCCCCCCCCCCCCCCAGTCATCACCCCCCTCTTTGCCGCCCCCGAGGGTCCTCGAGCCGGGGCCGGGGAAGGAGGAGGAGGAGGAGGAGGAGGAGGAGGAGGAGGAGGAGGAGGAGGAGGAGGAGGAGGAGGAGGAGGAGGAGGAGGAGGAGGAGGAGCCCCCCTCTCTGCCGCCCCCGAGCTCTTCCAGAGCAGCCCTGGGGCGCCCCGGGGGCGCCCAGGCCTCTCGGGTGCTGCAGGGCAAGCGCGCCTCCCTCGAGGCCCCCCCGCGGGGACTCGGCACGCGGGGGCGGGCGCGCCCAATCTCGAGCGGGCACGCGCGAAGGAGCCAGCACTCGTCCTGCAGAAGCCAGCGCGGGGCGCGAGGCATCCTCGTGAGAACCTGCGCGCGGGGCGCGCCATCCTCGAGTCCGGCACGCAAGGAG